TGGAGGTCTCTTCCACCCTAAAGGATTTCATAGCTGTGGTTCCAGGCAGGGAGCATTCACCACCCTCAGGCACTGCTGCTGCTGGAGGTATTGGTCACTTGGGACCTGCTGCCCTCTGGCCACCAAGAGCCAGTCCCCCTGCACAGGAGAAGTGGAAGAACCCAGCAGCAAGCACAATATCCCTGAGAACGTTTCTGAGGGGAGCTCGTCCTCGAGCTATTTGTGGCTTTGATGCCACAAGAATTTCTGCTGCTTCCCACAGCCCAAGCTGCTGAGAGAAGCTGTGGAGCAGAGCTGAGAGCACTGCAGAGACAGGCTGGAGTTATTTGTGGTGCTTCTGTGTTTCCACACCACCCAAAGGGGAATCAATCTCTCACGGTAGATTTTAGCCAGAGAAATGTAGGTGCAGAGCAGCTCCAGGGTGCCCAGGGCACCCCAACATGCAGCTGGAGACACCCTGTCCCTGCCTTGTCAAGAGGAGAGAGAGAAACACAGAAATCAGAGCATTGTTTGGGTTGGAAAAGACCTTTAAGACCATTGAGTCCAACTGTTCCCCAGCACTGCCAGGTCCCCACTGCCCCGTGTCCCTCACACCACATCTCCAGGGCTTGGAAACCCCTCCAGGGGTGGGGACTCCACCACTGCCATGGGCAGCCTGGCACAGCCCTGGGCAACCCTCCAGGGCAAGAAATTGTTCCTCAGCTCCAACCTCAACCTCCCCTGGGGCAACTTGAGGCTGTTTCCTCTTATCCTGTCCCTTGTTCTGTGGGAGAGGAGCCCGAGCCCCACAACATGCTCAGATCCTGAGGTGCTCTGGGAGCCCCACGTGCCTCCATGTGGGTCTGGGTGCTCTGGGGCACTTCCACCTGGTCCTTAGCAGTAAGCTGAAGGGCCAGAGGTCACCTAGACCCTGTCTGAGCCCTACCCATAGGCAATCAGCAGGTTCTCATGCTTCTTGACCAAGTTCTTCATGCGTTTCTTGTAGCCACGTGCTGCTGTGGCCAGCTGCTCTTCCCGAGACTTGTAGGAAGCCCTGATGTCCTTCAGCATGTTCTCCACAAAGTGTTTCATGGGAGCACGAGCAGCTGGGGCTCTGCTAGGTCCTGGTACGTTGTTGGATTTGCTGTCCATGTAGTCCTTTAAACATGCAGAGAAAAATAATGGAAGTCATCAAGTGATTTGTCCTTGCTCACTGCAGGGGGGTTGAACTGGGTGAGCTTTAAAGGTCCCTTCCAACCCAAACCAGTCTGGATTCCATGGAGTCAATCCCTAAGGCACATAACCCATTTCCCACGGAGGAGGTCAGGGTGGATCTGTGCTAACAGCACAGAGAATAGGGAATAGCTCGTTTCTGAAGAGCAGGAAGGACTAATTAACTTCCACCACGTCCCTTCAAGTCAGAGGAGGCATCTGGACCCTCTTGGTGATCACCTAGGGGAGCAGGAGCTGGTGGCAGGAGTTACCAGGCCTGTCTTCTTTCCCCTGTGCCCTACTCTCTCCTACCTTCAGCATTGCTCTGTTGGAAATGAAATGCCTCTTAATAGTAACAACTCCTTTGCTTAGTCTCCTGACCCATCACCACACCACGTCCCAGCCTTCTCCCAGCACAGAAGCTCTTGCCAGAACCCCAGGGGTGCTTGTTCTCAGAGCAGGTCCCAGGCACTGGGGTCACCCAGCTCTGTCCCAGCCACGGGGGCTGGCAGAGGCACCAGGGAGCCAGCAGTGCCCTCGCCCAGCCTGCCAAGGGAGGTTGCCAGGGCGATGGGGATCAGAAGCCAACTGGAAGGCAGCCATGGTAAATAAGAGGATCTTCTAAACCAAGTCATCTGACCAAGAGAAAACCCAGCAGAAGCTCACAGACCATTTCATGTGGCCCTGGAGGAGGGCTGACATCTTCCTTGGGCCAAGCTGAGGGCACAGAGCCCCCTTCCAGCAGCAAGGATGGGGCCCAAACCCCCCCCCGACCCAGCCCAGCGAGGAGGAAACAGCCTGTGAGAAACAGGCAGCCAGCATGGAGAGGTCCAGCCCATGGAGGGATCCAGGAGATCCTGGGGCTGGGGGCACCCACCGCCACGTCCTTGAGGTACTGGCTGAGCCGGGAGCGATACTCTTCATTCAGCTGCTTCAGCTGGAGCTGCAGCCTGGAGTTCTCCTCCTCCACCTCTTGGAGCTGGCTCTGGGAGGTGAGCAGCACCTAGGGACAGCAGACACCCCCTGCCTCCTCCTCCTCGGCTGCCTCTGGCCAAGCAAGGGGCACCGAGTAGCTCCTAAGAGATGGGAGACTTCATTTCCAGCTTCAGTGGAGCTGGGAACGTCCTGGGTATTCACAGGAGCCCATGGGAAATGTCATAGGCTCTATTCTGGGGCTGTGCAGCTGGAGAAGCCTCAGAGGGGATCTGAGCAGTGCTGAGCAAGAGCTAAAGGGCCCCGGGGGGCAAGAGGCTGGGGCCAGACTCTGGTCAGTGGTGCCCAGGGACAGGACAAGGGGCAACGGGCACCAACTGGAACCCAGGAGGTGCCACCTGAGCAGGAGGAGAAACTTCTTTGGGGTGAGGGTGCAGAGCCTGGAGCAGCTGCCCAGAGAGGCTGTGGAGTCTCCTGCTCTGGAGAGATCCCAAACCCTCCTGGCTGTGACCCTGGGCACCCGGCTGTGGGTGAGCTGCTGGAGCAGGGGTTGGAGGAGATGATCTCCAGAGGTCCCTTCCAACCCCACCCTGCTGGGACTCTGTGATTCTCTTCCCCTGCTACCTTCTGTCCTTTGCAATCCCTCCACCCTGCTGATTTCACCAACTCTTCCTAAATCTCAGTGAACAGAATCCCTCCCACCACCCGTGGCCAGCAGCACCTCCCACTACCAGCATCCCACCCCTAGGGGGGGAGGAGGAAACCGTGCAGGGAGGAGGAACACCTCGGGGTGACCAACTCCCTGGAGAGGTGTCAGAGTACCTCCAGCCAAGACATCCACCCCCTGGGAGCTGCAGGAGAAGTGCTGGGACCTGGCTGGAAGCTTGTTCTCACCGCTGACTGCTCCACCAGCTTCTGCTGGGCCTCCCCAGTCGCCGCCTTCGCCTCCTGCAGCTCCTTCCCCAGCACCACCCTGGGTGCCAGGGGAGAAGGGGTGTTTGTTTTCAAGCCCCACGTCTCTCTGGGGGTTCGGTGCAGTTTTGAGAAGGGAATCCCCACGGGATGATAGAATCTTCTCAGCAGCAGCTGCCAGCCCCCAAGGGTGTCCCCAGCGGTGGCCACAGGGCTGTGGCAACCCCAGGGAGAAGGTTCCAGCCCTGCAGAGTCCCTTTGCTGGGACACCGACCCCATCCCAGGGTGCTGCTGGAAGAATCCCCGTGGGGATAAGGGTTCAAGGGCTGGATTCACCTCTGGGATGTCACACGTTTACTGGGCAGGCCACAGAAGGTGGATTTTCAACGGCCATGTGGGTACCTAAACATCACCAGCTTCTAAGCAGCCAGCTAACCCTCTTCAAAGCTTTGAAAACATCAAGTTTGGCTTCCAGACCTCAATTCTTCCAAGGGTGACCCATCATCCCACCCCTGCACCCCACCAAAGGCAGGCTGGGACCTCACTCAGCTCCAGGGACCTCACTCAGCTCCACAAACACCCAGCCAAGGAGGAGGACGTGCCCCCCAACACTCACACTTGCTCTTCCAGCTTCTTCTGCTGTGACTCGTAGGTTGCCTTCAGTTTTTCCAGCTCCACTTTGAGGTGATCCTGGTTTCCAAGCAACCCAGGGACAAACGAAGAGGAAGATGAGAGAGGGTTGAAGGAAGGGAGGGGTTTGGGAAGGGGGAAGAAGTGAGGAGAGCCCCCCAGCTGAGCAACCACATCCTGGGGAAAGGGCAGGTTGAAGTGGGAGCTCCCAGGGCCCTGGGGCACACCAGGAGCGGTGGCTGAGCTGGAGGCAGGACAAGTTTTGGGGTGCACACACCTCGCTCCCCCAGGGGAATTTCTCACACTGAGAGATCCCCAGCAGGAGCTGCTGGCAGAGCCCGAGCTGGTTTCAGAGGGGCTGCAGGTGGGAAGGGGGCAGGGAATATCTCTGTGCTCTCTATTTCAGGTGCTTTACCCCTCCCTTCTTTCTCCAAGCTCAGCAAGAAGAAAATAAGTGGCCTCTGGACCACTTGTTGGCTCCTAAACTCCTTCCTCTGTTTGCCCAGGGGCACGGAGTGAAGGAACCACAGCTGCCCTCTCCCAGCTTCTGCCTCCATGGGATATGGAATCATTCTACTCTCATTTTTCAACTGCACAGCTTAAAACCAAAGAAATAAACAAAAAAAACCCCCAACGAGGCATCAGCTTATCCCCAAAATTCAAGTTATTTCCAGCCACAGTTGGGATAAATTCCCCCAGGAGCCAGCAGCAGAGCCCCACCCACTCACGTTCCTCTCCAGCTTCTGCTGCTCGTGTTCAGAGGCAACTGCATCTTCTGGCTGGTTTTAGGAAGAGACAGAAGCAGGTTCCCAGTTAGATGGCAGCTCTACGAGGAGCTGGGGAGGGGACAGGGAGGTCCTGACCTTCCCCCTCCGAGCAGAGGGACGACGTGGCACGGCAGGGGACTCCTTGGCCACGGTGGAGGGGGGGTTGCTCTCCAAGGGGGGAAGGATGCTCCTGGCCTGGGCCAGCCTGAGGAGCTCTAGGCTGAGCTCTTCATTCTTCGTGACCTGCCAGGTCAAACAAGAAGGGAAGAGCTGCTGAAATCCTCTGCCTGCCACCCATCCAGCACGGGGCTGCTGCTCCTGGGGTGCAGGCACTCGCACCCCCTCCTGAAAGCCAGGCTTATTTTTAGCTCAGGACAGGGGAGAGAGAACTATCAGTGGTTTTCTAAACCTCGTGGACGTGTGCCAGGCATCAGGCTCATTCACATGGAGCCTTACTGCCTCTGGCATCCTGACACAGCTCCTGGTGCCAGCCCAGCCCCGGGCACAGCTCTGCCACCACCCCGACCTCCCTCCCGTCCCCTCCACGCAGCTTCCCCACCCTTGAGTCATACGAGGCCTTCCAACAGTGCTGGACTCCAAGGGAAGGGGCCAAATCTCCATCCCCGTGGGCTGCTGCCACCCCAGCTCCTGGCATCTCCGTTGGCAGCATCCCTCCAGCAGCAACCAGCCCCCAGCACCGCGTAGGCAGCAGGATTGAAAGAGCTGGTGCAAAAAAAAACCCCAAAAGTGACACATTTCCAAGGGATAAAGAGGATCTGAATGAAAAAGGCTCCGTTACAGGTGATGTGGAAGGAACACTGGGGGAATTCATGTCTCCCGGGAGGGTTTCTGTGTGGATAACAAAGCTGGGATGGGGTTTAGGACTGGGGACAAGCTTGAGTAATTGTTACCATGGCAGTGAATCGGGGAGGATGGGAGGCAGAGGTCATCTGAGTCATCCGTGGAGAGAATAGCTTATCAAAAGATAGCACAGGGTGGGCTGAGGGAGGGAGAAGAGGAGAGGGGAAAAAAAAAAGAGGTTGACAAAGAGGTGAGATATACAGCTGTGAAAAGTGACAGCCAAGCAGAGACGGGCTGCTCGTCCTCCGAGCAAAACCCATCAGCCCTGACAATTTGATCAGAAAGGGGTCCCCCGAGCGCAGAAGTGGCAGTTGAGGGGTGGAAAAAGGCAGTCCCAGGTTTGCCCTGGCATTCCCTGCCAGCCCTGGGCTCAGCTCGGGGGAAAAGCCCCTCCTGGAAGCGCTCCACAAGCAGCCAGGGTCCCCCCCCGGAGACGGCGTGAACCCGGGGAACAAAAGAGGAGGAGGAAACAGAGAGGGAAGGAAAGGTCAGAGCCTTGAAGAGGAAGAATTTACAGCCACCAAGTGCCCGACTGGCATCTTCTGGAGGGCACTTTTCCTGGGATAAACGGGGCCAACTCCAGCGGGGTCCCTGGGCTGGGTGGGATGGAGCTGGACAATGGGCACGGCGACAGTTCGGAGGCTCCGGCGGTTCCCGGGCGCGGGGATGAATGAGCTCCCCGAGCTGCTCCTGCCCCCAGCAGCCATGACAACATATTGGCAAGGTCACAAGTAGCACTTGTAATTGGGAATGTGTAAAAGCTTCATTGTCTTCCCCCCTCCCTCCCCTCCCCGAAGAGCGCCGGGGAAGGGGAGGGGGGCAGAACCCCAGGCTGCTTTTTTTCCCCCCCCTCACCCCGTTTCCTTTGGGAAAGTCCACGCTGGGAAAATAATGAGCGAGAGGCCCACGCTGTGACGAGTCCCAGCCTGCCAAGTTGGAGCCTCTTTGGCTTCAGGCAGGGCTATTTGGGAGTGGGAGCCAAGAAACTGGGGTAAACCCCTCAGCCAGCCAAAGGGGTTCACCTTTTTGGCTTCTGGAGCCTGCTCCACCACCTCTCCAGGATGCTCTTGGGGCACATAACTGCATCCCTGTCCTTCCCCTCTCCAAAACATCCCTGGATCCAGGTG